AGAGGAAGAAAAAGAGAGAAAAACATTGACCAGTTGACCAAGGATCAAACCTGCAACCTAGGTATGTGCCCTGACCGGGAATCAAAGCTCCAACTTTTTGGTGTATGGGGCAATGCTCCAACCAACTAAGCCATACCAGCCAGGGCTAAAAGGATATATTTTGTACCCTCTGTATGCCTTTATGTATGGTGTACGTGTGTGTGTGTGTGTGTGTGTGCGCGCGCGGCGCGCGCACACGCGCACAGAATAAGAGACTCTCAAATTCTGCATGTACTTCCACTCCAGCTAGAACACTTGTGAAGGTAGTAGGTAAACAATGAACTAATAGATGAATGAATAAATGGATGAGGTAGCAAATTACAATACACTTTTTCTACTGATCCTGATGTTAGATAAGCAATATCCTCAAAAGGCAGTGTTGGCTTTCGGCAAAAGTGCCTTTGTTGTGTAGCTCAAGTTAGATGTTTCTCCAATGACATGTGCAAAGTGGCACAAAGCCAATGGGGAATACAATTAGGCAATCTCCCTTTGGTGAAGAGAGTGTGTTTCAATAGTTGAAAATTATTTGCTTTATATATTAGTATATTTGAATATTGATTTTATTCTTATTGAAAGAGGACAAAGGGAAAGTAGATTCTCAAGGTATCCCTAATTACAAAGCATAGCTAAATTATAACTCTCATAGTAAGGTATGTTTTAGCCTTTTAAATATTCCTTCAATGGAAATCCTTGAGATGGAAGGAGCTCATTCATTTCAATTTATCTACTTCACTTACAAGTGGGGGTAATAGTGGGTGACAGATGGATCTACTTTAATCATGTTGAAGGGGACAAAAATCTCATATCTGCATGTGTACTTTTACATATAATAAAAAACTGTGTGTGTATATATATATATACACATATATATATACACACATACATATATACACACACATACATGCACACATGAGAACTATTACATAGCATTATATGTAAATCAGTGTGACAGACACTAGGCAACCATACCGAGTGACTATAGATTAAGGGAGAGAAATTGATGTTGTATAATGAGGAATTCAGAAGATTCTGTAAAGAGAAGTTTTTTGGTTATATGTAGACTTTAGAATATAGGGGAAAGAAGATCAGGTATTCAGAGTGGAGTTTTCAGCATAAGAAAAAGACAAAAATGTGTAGGGTCTGTTATGGAGTAGGAGATAAAAAAAATAGGGTAAGTAACACAGGTTGAGAATCGGTGGAAAAACTTGAATATTAGCAGGAGTTGATCATAGACAATGCTATAACTTATAGTCTTGGGAGTGTTTTTTAAGTTTTAAGAAAATGAAGTATCCCACAGAATCTAATACTCAGAAGAGTAAAGGCTGATGAGCACTTTTGCAAATAACAAAAATCATGAGAACCAAAAAGGCAAATTCATAAAAATTATCATAATAACTCTCATGTAAATTCCTCTTTAAAAATTACTTTTTAATCACATCTCCATGAAAATGTTCCAATGTTTTATTTTCTGATTTTCAGTTTAAATTCTCTTTGGAAGCATGTTTGGCCTGATGTTGTATCCATACTTCTGCAAAGTATTGTATATGTCTTACATGTAATCTAATTCAGAAATTTGTGACAATTACATCACTATTTTTATCACGTGCCATAGAAATGCTTCTAATGCTCATTTAAATTCATGGTCATTAACTTAATAATCAACCTGCAAGTTTTGAGGCTTTACTTTCATTATTATGTTGCAGTATGTATGTAATAAATAATATACAATATAATTTGTGGTAAGCTCTTAAAATATCAGAAGATTTTGATCCTTTTAAGTCTCAACTAAATCTCAACAAGCATTATTACCACAACATTTCTACAGCCAGTAATAATAAACACGATGAAACAAATCTCAAAACAAACCTCTTATATCTTTATAACTTAGTTTTAGTGCTCTTGAACATAAATAACCCTATACACTAGCCTTATGACAGTTTGTTTCCAATTCTCAAAATTGTGTTTATATTAAACTTAGATTTCAACCTAAAGTACATTAAAAAATTACTGCATCCTTAATATAAATTAAGGATTGATATTACAATTATAATTTCCTACAGAAAAAGTCAGATATATTTAAGAATAAAATTTAACATTCCTGCATAATAAAAATAAATTTTAGGCATGACATTTTCTTAATTGAAATTCAATTTATTTTCAGGACATATAAACCTATATAAAAATGAAATGGAATAATGGTGTCTATTTTTTTTTACATAATCACACTAGATATATAGAAGAATATTCAGCCTGACTAGTTAAAGTTGCCTCTCTCTGGATGACAAAATTAAGAATATTGTCACTAAATTACATAAATAACTTCACATAATAATATAAAACATGAAGAGCTATTTAAATGCCCCTTTTAAAAGGGTTGAATGTAGAACTTTCAGGTATCCTTATACCCAAAAGTGCTTGCTAATCCAATAGGTTTCTCTCTGAGCTCTATTGCCAGAGTTAATCCTACACAAAAGGAGTGGGTTAGTCCTCATGTGCAACTGAGAAAACTGACCAGTCCCATTCATCTAAAAATAGCACCATCACTAATACATCTGAATAGTCTTTTATTTAAACACGAGAGGCCCGGTGCATGAAATTCTTGCACTGGTATGGGGGGGGGCGGGTTTCCCTCAGCCAAGCCTGGGACCCATCACTCCTTACCGCCTACCTGCTTGCTACTCCTTATCACTCTGCTCACTGCTCCTTAGCACTGCCACAAAGGCAGGAGAGGCCACCACTGCTGCGCTCACCAGCAGTGAGCCCGGCTTCTGGCTGAGTGGTGCTCCCCCTGTGGGAGTGCACTGACCACCAGGGGGCAGCTCCTGCATTGAGCGTCTGCCCCCTGGTGGTAAGTGCACATCATAGCGATCAGTCGTTCTGGTCGTTCCGCCATAACGGTTGCTTAGGCTTTTATTACATAGAATGAAACATAAATATTCCATCTAAGATATTAGAGACACAGCATCAGCTCATTAGCATTCATTGTCTAACAGAAACTGTTTATAAGATTGCAAACACCCCTATTTCATGGAATCCAAATGATCAGTTTAGAGAGATGACAACATAAACACCATTTCTCCCATCCCAGGTCACTCCTCCACACTCTACTCCCAGCATTTGCACAAACACACGTCCTAGAACATCATCCCTTCGGGAGTTTTATCAGACCAAAAGCACTTGGATTCTGGCAAAATACAGAACTGTTCCTTTATTCTCATGATGGGAGGAAACACATTTTATACTCTGGGTACACAATGCTAGAAATCCTACCCTTTTAATGGAAATTTCCCCTTCCCACCCAACTTTGCCTTTCCTACATTCAATTCAAAGTGTTTTCATGTCTTAAATAAACAAAAGACTAATAAAACAACAGATGCATATGTACATTTGTATGAACATGAACATATACATGAACATGTACATACCTCTGAAAAAAATAATTTCACAGGAATGAATCCTGGATAGTCTGTGCTCCTTTTATCCTTTTATCCTAATGGACATGGATCCTTGACCCTCCCCACTGGCTTCAACTCATTCCATGTCTTTCTTTCTCTCTCTTACTGTGTCATCGCCCATCAATTCCCCCTCAACAAGCACTTTTCTACTACTTATCTCCTATGTCTACGTCACATAGCTCAGTGTCAACATCTTCCACATACAGTCTAGGTATCAGTGCTCATTGCAATGTCTCTCTGTGGGGAGTCACAGTTAATAGTGCTATGCAAAATGCAGCTCTCCATTGATGTCACTAACTATTTAAGAATATTTTATAGATTCCATTAAAATTTTAGTATAGCTAAAACTTGAATAGAGTGCCTACAATTCCAAACCGCCTTTAGGAGAGAGAAGCTGCTTCCTTAAGGGATTTACATCTCCTTTGAAGTATCAACTGAAATCAGAAATAAGTACAAACACCCAATTTGTAATTCAACCTAACAATTTATTTTTGCTCAACTGCAAATTCAAGGTCAGAAACCAGTTTTCTGCTGATGTCCATTAAATTTAAATGCTATCTTTGTTTCAACACTCATTTGTTTTCAGGAATTTGACAATTTGTCAAAAGTAAAACCCAATCAGTTTCAATTAGTAAACAGTCTAATATACATTTCAATAAATCTCTTATGCATATACATACGGTAACATCCTACCTTCATAGCTCTATAAATAGATAACATTCATTGAATAGATGGGTATAATGACCATCACAGTTCTAACCTTTTAGAAACCTTACTGAAAAAAAATGCTTTTAGATAGTACCTTTATTCATAAAATATGCACATGTATATCTGTAGCTTACATTTTATTTACCCATATATATCATTAGGATATTTGTATAAGTGTTCATATTTTTAAGCCAACATATGTAAATAAATCACATAGCAATTTCAAAATTTAGCAACTATATATGCAACTGTTAAGCATAATCAGGCATGCTATTCAACAACTGTATGATATAATTCAGTCTTTCCAAAGAAAATATGATTTGTATGATGGTGTCTTCATAAAACTCAAGAGTTTGAGAGGAATTTGAACTGAAATTTTTTGCATATTCAAAAAGTAATATGTAAAACCATCTGACTAATTCTTGAATAAAAGGAAATTCTTATCACTGTTCTCTGACAAGAATCTAATTCTCTTATTGTAAATGTGAATAAACTAATTGGAGTTATTTCCAAACAAAGAGAACATATTCTCCTAGTCAAGATCCTATTCATATATTATGATAAATGTAGTGTCAAAATTGACCATTATCCACAATGTTTTGATACCCTAAAATATGTTTAAAATTTTACTGTTATTTCATAAATATGGTATTCCTTATAAACCATTCCCTCTACTTTTCAGACAATGATTTACTATTACATATTCAATAGCTAAAACCAGTAATCAAGGAAACCAACGAGTTCAATGTATCAGAATTAAACAGACTAAAAAATATATCAATTCACAATAAGTATTACCTTGGTCTGATTTTTCATAAGAGAGTGCAGATCTCTTGCCAGGTAACACCATTTCTTTGGGTTCTGTGGGCAAAGAAAAAAGAGATTAATAAAAAAAACCTTTCTTTTTACTCTTTAAGTGCTTCTTAAGGAAGATTCATTAGTAATAAAGGTCAGAGAAGAAAATCATTTAACAAAATATTCAGCAGCTGCCATGGGAATCACTTGTTTAAATGCCAAATAACTTCCCCAACGGTCCCCTCGCCCCTGCAGCCCAGAACAGGGGTATCTGTGGCAGATACTCAGCCCAGTCTTCTTTGCTTGTCTCCGTCTTCTCACATGGGAACAAGATTCTCACTTGAGCAAGAAGAAACCTTAGCTTCCACCATGTGAAAAGATCAGATGTAAGCCATGTTGAGACAGAACATTTACTTGGAGTACAACTGACTGAAATGGAATTTGCAATTATCTAAACTTACTTTCCTCCCTCCCCCAGTGTGTATGGGTTTTTAAATATTCATGAAAGTTTGGTTTTCTATTCTGTTTTTCCACAAAAGTGATAAAATGAGATATTGTGAGAACCTTCTGTAAATAATTGCAGATTACCCTCCTCATGAGATACAATTTTAGAGCTTTTCCATGCTGCAATGAGGAGGAAAGTACTTTATAGAAGTCAAAAGTTATGAAAATATATCTTATTCCCTCCCTTAGCATATAGCAATCTTGAGGAGTATCCCATAAAAGATTTTATTGCATCATTATCTGAATGTGCAGATTGGAGGATAAGAAATTCAAGACTGAGCAATAGCTTTCCAGAAAGGACTGTCATGTAGATAGGTGAGACATTTAAATTCACCCCTTAAGAAAGTTATTTGAAGAAATGTTAACAGTTAAAAGCAACACTGATTAATTGGCTATAATAGTCATTATAAGAATAGTCATATAAATGCAATCACCATATCTTACTAGCTGTGTGAACTTGTGCAAGTAAATTAAACTCTGTAAGCCTTCATTTTTCATCTGTAATACTGGAATAACAATTATTTCTACTCCATAGAGCTGATAGGATAAATAAATGAGATAAATATATATAAAGGACATAGAACTAATGAATGTTAGCTACTATAATTATCAACATCATTATGACTCCTTTTTATCATCATTCTCCTTTTAAAAATATGCATCATCTGTATCTTGCATTATATGTGGACCCAAAGTCAAATCATCTTCCATTACCATAAATTTGACTCCTTTTCCCTTTACTAGCTCCCCCACTTGAAATCTAAATAATTTTATTAACCAATGTCACCCTGGACATTACCTAATTTGCCTACTGCTTAATCTGACTCTGATGGCAAAGGAAATGAAGGTCTTTGGGCAAGTGAGGCGAACAGATTGAGTAGCATTTCAGGAAGATGAGAAAGCTGCCAACCACTTCACTGCAGTGGCTCCCCTTCATTTTGCTGAGGATTTTAGTTCAAAGAAGCCCTCCAAGAAATTGTGCTAAACTTCAGGATTCACTTAAAGCAAATGACCAATTCCTATTTTTGGGAACACTCAATCCAATTCTGAAAACACCTAGTGACCCCCCACCCAACACTGCAAATTAGGGTTTCTAACAGACTTTAGAGAAAACATAATAAATAAAAATGACTCAAGAGAAATAGTTTAGTGGAGGAAACATCTATAGAGAATTATTTCAAGGAACTGCTGAAAATACCATCATGAAACAATATATAATGTGTTGAAGCAACAGGAAGTATTGAAAGAATATTCTGCAATCAGGAAAGAGGTGTTTAAAAAATAATCTTAAAAGATTAATCAGGACAGCTGGACTTGTACTCACTGGCTGACAATCGGTCCTGTTCACAAGAGGGGACTCTGAAAGACTAAATCTGACAGGTAGGTAAGTAGGGATATGTCTTTCCAAGAAGCTTGGACAATACATTAGAGAAACTGGAAGTGTACGCATTAGACAGGAACTGGAAGTGTACAAAAACATGACGAGCAGCTTATCACGGGGCTGACCTGCAGTGCCCACTGTGTTTCTCCTCAACCTTTAATAAAAGTGCCAGTTTCTGCCACGTGAGTATATAGGGAGAGTGGGCATTCTGCAGCCCAGCAGGGGGTTCTCACCAGAACCCAGACGGCATTCACACCCTGATCTTGGATTTCTAGCCTCCAGACTGAGGTCAGGAAAGCGTTATTTCATGGAACCAAGTCAGGAGAGTTCCCATGCGAGCAGCCAGCAGCAGCAGATGAGGAGAGCAGTCACAAAATCAGGACCGAAGAGTGCTCGGGGTCTTGGCATTTAGACCGGTTATCGGTGTCCTCCTGTCTAACCGAGTATCAAGGAAATCTTTCAAGTCTTCCTAACGATGAGCATCCCTGCACCGTTGCAGATGCATGGAGTGCCTCAAGCCTTCTCTGGATGTGCTCATGAGGACACTGGGGCTGAAGCATGGGTTTCTGATTTACCCTGCCCAGCGTGAGAGAGTGTCCCACCTACACGATGACATCAGGCTGTTGTCCACAGTTCAGTGTCAGCAATCACCACCTACATGGTCTATTGCGGAGCCAGAACATGCTAATGAGCATTTCACATGAGCTAGCTTATTTAACCTTTGCAATAGTCCTACTATATTGGTATACTGCTTCTCCCATTATATGGATGGGGAAAGTGGTGTGCGTTCCTATCAGACAACTGATACCTTCGGATCCAGGGTTTGGTTGATTTCTATGCACCGTGTCACATGCCCAGAGATTCCAATTACTTTCCTAGGGTGGTGTTGGATATCAGTATTTTTTAAAGCTGCCTGGGTGATTCTAATGTGCATTTGGGGCTGAGAACCCCCTGGGGCCTGGTGGCTAAGCTCATATTCATAACCAAAACTTAAAAACCAAAAAATCCATACACTTCTTTATTCATGGTGCCTATGAATTCCCTAACCTAGATATTTGTTCACTAAACAAACTGGCTTTCAATAAAATTAAGTTTAAATCAGATTGCTACTAAAATTTAAAAGGAAAGTTTCTGAGGGCATTAAAGAAGAGAAACACTGGTAGCACCACTGGGAAGAAAATGGACAAGATATAAAGAGGTGTCTCCAGTAGTTGCATCCCTGATAGGGATGATTAAGAAACACTGCTTCAGACTCAAAACTCATACTGTGTATTGTGAAAGAGTGCGGCACACATAATTAGAAATAAACTAGGAAGGGACTTTGAGTCACACCAACAATGGCCCCTAACTCCAGGGTACAGACACCAAGTAGAATTACACCTCTGTGGGTTGAACTGTTTCCCTCAACAGATATGTTCAAGTACCACCCTAGTGCCTGTGAATGGGATCTCATTTGTAAACAGTCTTTCTAGAGGTCATTAAAATGTAAGCTAAGATGACATTATATGGAGGAGGGTAAACTCTTAATCCAATATGACTGATGTCCTTATGAGACAAATATAAACACACACACACACACACACACACACACACACACACACACACACGAGAGTGTCATGTGAAGACAAAGACACAGAGGGAGCTCACCATGTGATTAGGAGAGCAGAGATCAGAGGGATGTATCTGCAAGCCAAGGAGTGCCAGGAATTGCAGCAACCCCAGAAGCTAAGAGAACGTTAATGGAACAGAGGATCTCCTAGATTCCAGGACCTAGAGCTTTCAGAAAGAACATGTTGACATTTTTCTTTTGGACTTGTAGCCTCCAGAACTACGAGAAAACAAATGCCTCTTGTTCTAAGACGCCCAGTTTGTGGTCATTTGTTACAGTAGTTCCAGGATATTAAGGCAACATCTTTTGAGCCAATATGAACTAGGGTCTTATCTATATACCCTGATCAATTGGAGCTTTAAAAAAATCTTATAGTTACATTAAGTCACCAAACATATTCTCAATTTGTAAATTAAAATACACAGCTGAGATCTGCTGCAAGTGGAAACCAACAGCCAATGACGAGCATCCTATATTTTTACCCCAGGTCTTTCTTCTCTAACCATTTAATAATCTTGGTTCCAATACCTCTGGAATATGGAAGTGGAGTGAAAGAGGAAAGGTAGGATAAGAGGAGGTAAATGGTCACTGAGGTAAGAGAACTGGTATATATTTAAGCTGATTCTCAACCAGTGTTTGCTTCCCCTTCTCCAATCATTGGAGACTTGATATGAGTCATACTGTCTCACTTTATCACTTACTACAGCCACAGCTCCGAGCGACAGCTTTGGCTTCTATCTGCTGAGACCAGTTCAGTCCCTGGGCAGCCTAATGGGACAGGACCTGGACAGCCTCGTGACAGTGCTCTCACATGCACGGTCCACATCTGTTCCCCAGGGAACTCTCTAACTAACCCTGGGAAAATAGGTGAATCCCAATACAGCACTGCTACTTTGCTCGACTATAAACTGCCCACTCGCTCATTTCTTGGTCTTTAGATTCATTACTATTTTGATGACCACCCCAAAACTTCAGAGGACACATATTACACTCTCACCAAGTGTCCTTGAAGTACCTCTTTCTAGCAATAAGAGGGGAAAAAGGAAATACCCCACAACCTACCTCCTTGTGATATTCCCAGTGGACCCTCAGTTCATGCCCCACAAATCTGCTTTTAATCTCCAAATATCCCACCCCTGTTGGAGTGTGGACGTAAAAGTTATCTAAAAGGGCTCATGCTCCTACTGGGGAATTTCTACAAGGTGATCTATTTCATAAATCGCTTTGATGTCTGGTAGCTATTCCCTTTAGGGCTCAAAATTTTCCAATTTTACAATCTATAATATTAGTTTATATAATTTGAGCTTTAAGAGACCCATGAGAGAAGCAGCTGAAAATTGTACAGTATGTCGACTGGATATACTTTTTCTTAAGTTTCCTGAACATTCCATGAATTTTACATTGTTCTCCAATATAATCTGTCCTCCTCAGTTAGGCAGAGTGCTAATGGCTCCCATGTTGTCTCTCCCAGTTCCATTTTCCTTGTCTATTCCTCCTCGTTGCGGTTCAATTCTTTTCAGCACCTTCCAAATTTACCACCCTGTCAACGCTTTAATGCCAACTTCTCCACAA